ATAGAGAAACGTTTGAGTTGATAGTTTGTGTTGGTTGAAATGTTATGTTTATCGCAACTGAATTGATGAAGACTTATGCAAGGATTGGGGCCATATTCCACAAGCATCAAGAAAGCTGAAAAAGATGTAAAGTAAATGGCGAAAAGGATCAATGATTTACGTGGTAAGCTAATTCTATCGGAATAGAATCACGAATTCAAATTCTATCGGAATGGAAACATGAATTCTAATTCTGTGGGAATGGAATATGGATTTTTTCTCATTGATTATACATGTTCTACAATTTTTTTGGTTATTGGTTTTGGTGCAGTTAACAAGTCCGCTTATTTTTCCAAAGGAATATAGTTTTTTTATTTATCATTTGCTAATGCGTTATTGGATTCTAAACTACAATTGGATTTGTTTTCATAGAAGTTGATGCTTGAAGAGGTTGATGCTTGAAGAACGGACAACAAAATTAAAAGTGTTTCTTAGCAACATTATTCTTTTAGAATGAATTAGTGTATTTGTTAGATTTTGATGTTTTTTTTTCGATTTGAAAGTTTTTTAGTTTTATTCTTTAACAATAAATGTAATTCTTAACAATTGTTACATGTATTCTATAAGAATTAATGTAATTTTTGTTTTAATTCTTCAATTGCTGGTTCGAGAATTTCTTATTCTATAAGAAATTTTTAAAGTCATGATCAAGAAATTTTGTTATTCTAGAATATTATTATTTTTGAACATACTCAAACATATTCTGTCAGAATGTCCGAATTAAAAACCTTATAATTAGTAAAAATCGGATTTTTAAAATTAATAGAATCTATGATCCCTTAAAATATGCAAATTTCCTTTATTAAATATGTATTAATTGACTAAAATACCATTCTAGTTAAATTGGATGGTATTTTTCAATTATTTTTAATTCAATAATATGTATTAATCACTTTATTAAAATAAGTAAAATGATTGGCCCACGTTTATGCATACAATAACACAATAATTAGTTTTAATAGAATAACCTAAGCCATATATATATATATATATATATATATATATATATATATATATATATATATATATATAATGTTGTTATTATTACCATAAAAATACTCATTTATAAGGGTTATATTACTCAATTTCCCTTGTGTGGAACGCCCCCAAATGCTTACCTTATTAGTTTAGTATGAATAAACAAAAGAAATTTTCAGATAAGTCTCAATATTTTGGTCCAGTTTATGAAAAAAAAAATTCAAAATTTTATTTTTTTAACAAAAAAGTCTCGACTATCAGATAAAAAAATCAAAATAGTTCATTTTTACCAGTAAACTATTTTTTACCCGGTTACCTCTGGAAAAGTCTCATTATTTTGATTCAATTTATGAAAAAGTCTTAATTTTTTTACTTAAACTCTTTTACTATTTCACTAAAAAGTTGGAAATTTCTTGGTTCCATTTATGAATTGGAATAAACATCATTAAACTCTATAAATCTAAGAATCAAAGTCTTATATAACAAATTGTTTGCCACAAAAGTATGACGTTAGCATCATTTTCAACTCATCATCGTCCATATAATCCATTTTTCACACACATTTATGTTACAATGTAACGTCCCAAAATTCAATTCGCTTTTTAAATAAGAGTATTAAATCTTAATAAATCATTCATCAAACCTTCATTCATAATATTAATCCATTTCAAATCAACATATCTCATCATAAAATCGTCATACTAAACCATCAAAATGTCTGGTTGCAGAAGCATGAATATTGTTTTGAAAATCAACGTATAATAAGATAAAATATTGGATAAATGTCCTGCACATGAGAATGTCTGGACGTCATAGTCATGTTGGCTCCTTCCCTTCAACACTGATCAATTATGTAATTAATATACGAATCCATTCGTTCATAATATTAAGAACACAACATGTTAGTAATTTTTTTAAGCTCATGTGGATCTTGATGATTTACAATGCGTTTGGAGATGATTCACATTTTAGACCCTCCAAACGCATTTGTAAGATGATTCACAAGAAAAAATTCCCAAAAAAACATCTTTATGATTCATTTTTAAGTAAATTAAAAAAAATTCATTTTTATGACAATTTTAGTGAATAACAACAAAATCATTGTATAAATAAATCATCGAGATGTTTTTTTGAGAATTTTTTCTTGTGAATCATCTTACAAATGAATCATCTAATGATTCATTTTGTTTGTTCGCGAAAAAAATATGTAGAAAAAAAACTTCTTACCTTCCTACCAAAAATTTATATATATATATATATATATATATATATATATATATATATATATATATAATATATATATATATATATATATGCATGAACTCAAAAAAATCAAGGATCTTGATGATTTACAATGCGTTTGGAGGGTCTAGAATGTGGAAACTTCACAGGAAAAACACTTCTTCAAGCTCCACTAGCTTTCTTTCTACTTCAAATACCTCTCAAACAAAACACAGTCCTCTTAAATGCACAAAGGGGCTAGGACTACGTTCTAGTAAAGGAGGCTAATGTTTAGAAGAAACCCTCAAACTTAGCACCACTATATAGAGCTCAAGGCTTAAGATTTAGGGTTTTGGCATTAACGGTTTCGCGTCGTAACATTTAGAAGTCGCATCGCTACTTATCTATGTGGCTTGCATCACGACCTTTAGAAGCCAACCGCGCTTTGCCAAAAGCCCCAAATCTTAATCTTTAAACAAATCAACATGAATTTAACTTATACCTACAAACTGAGTGTTACGTACAAGTATTATAAGATATTCAAATTATGTGATGTACACCTTATTACAATCTACCTAAAAGTAAGTTAAAGAAAAACCAATGGTTATGTTCATATAAGAAATCATTGACCGATGACAAACTGATCAATACAATAATAGGTTAGGTGAGGTTGTACGGATTTTAGAGAAGAGCATGAATTTCATCCTTAAACCTTAGGCATATATGAACAATTCTTCCATTGATCAATTACTTCACATGTCAATAAATTTAAATTCTAAAGCTCTAAAACACCAAGACCATAAGAAATCTTATGTTTGTTCTTCTATGGATTCACTTCTATGATCACTTTTAGTTTGACACATGAAAATGTTTAAAATGAAGATGTATTTTAGATGGCATATCAATATACTACATCCGTTCCAAATTAATTGTCCACATTTGACTCTTAAAGTCTTTATTCTTCAACTTTGAACTTAAATATTTTTTTATAGATAATACTTTATGCAAAATATATGAATGGATCGTGTTTTAAATGTCTTTTCATTATTATAAGTTTCATCAAGTAATATCTAACACAAATAAAAATATTTAAGGTCAAAGTTGAAGAAAAAAGACTTCAAAAGTCAAAAGTGGGCAATTAATTTGGGACGGAGGGAGTATAACATTGTGATTTTATGTTATGTCAAGTGATTCAATGATGGATTTACTCTCGACCCAGTTCGTACAAAAGACGACAATGTCATTTTCCATTTACATCATAGAAAATAGTCCTGAAAGTGTAACGATAATTGTTAGAACTTAGAACCATGGAATATTTTAGAACCAAGAAATTTCCAGATTTTTTGTGAAAGTGTAAAAGAGGAGAAGTTAAATAAAAATTTGGGACTTTTTCTTAAACTATGCAAAAATAATGTGATTTTTCTGGAGGTAACGGGGTAAAAATAGTTTACCGGTAAAAAAATGTTCATTTGAATTTTTTATCTGGTAATCAAGATTTTTTTGTTAATAAAAATTTATGACTTTTTAATAAACTAGACTAAAATATTATGATTTTCTTAATTTTCTTATTTCGGGATTTATCATATTGAATGAGAGATTTATTATTGCAACATGTTAATTTAATAACGAATTTATTATTTAGAAATACCATAACAACCAAGTTTTTAAGTTTAGGTTTAGGTTAAAAAAATGTCATATTTTGTTAACTTATCAAAATATAGTTATGGATCACCTAACATCCAACCATCCATGAACACCCTGACATAAAGGGTGTCTTCAGTAGAACTAATTGGTAGTCGTAAGCTAACTAATTGGTAATTGTAAGCTGTAAGTTTTATTTTTATGAATGTTTGGAAAAAATAGTTATAAACTTTTAAAACATGTAAAATTGTATAAAATGACTTATCTAAAATACATCATTGATTTCATGGTTGTCAAAATCGCGATCCTGATCGTAGGATCGTACGATCCTAGGTATGAAAAACGATCCGGATCGTAAAAGGATCGTATTTGAGGTAGGATCGTAGGATCGAGATCCGATCCGATCCTACCTTCCCTTGATTCTTTTTTTTTTTTTTTTTTTTTTTTTTTTTTTTTGCAAATGAATTTTTTTACCACTTTATGTCTTTTACCTTTTACCAATTTACCATTTATCATTATTGTGGCTTATGACTGATATTTTGAAGTTTTTATAACTTTTGAACGAAAAATTAAATGTTTGAAATATTTTTCATGATTAAAAATTATAAATTAAAATTATATTTTATTTTGTGGGATCTTAGGATCCCGATCTTACAAACCCAAAAACGATCTTAAGTAGGATCCCGATCTTGACAACCTTGATTGATTTAAATAATAAAAAATAAAAAATAAAAAGTTTGGAGCTCTAACTCCGAACAAACCTTTTATAAGTTATCCGAACAAACCTTTTATAAGTTATTTGAAGTAGGTTTTGGATTTGAAACTTTTTGTTATAGTTAAAAGTTTGGAGCTCCGACACAGAACAAACCTTTTATATGTCTTACCGGCAAATTTGTTATATTAAACTAAAAGGATATCTAAAGGGAGTCGCTATCCTCATCGTTCCATCTTTTTGGTAGAACATAAAAAGGAGAAATTGGGTAGAACATAAGGAGCACAGATTTTATCCTATTCATATTAATCTCAATCTAATTAAATTCATGTCAAACGTTTGAAACTTGTTAGATCATGTAATGTCAATCCAGCAAAAACAAGATTGCCATAGCATACCACTAAAATATGCATTCTATTTACACAGTTTTTTTTTTCATATTTTCAGTACGACAGGGTAAAAAACACATGAAAAACAACCCAAATGAACGGAATTTACAACACAAACCGGCTCAAAAGCCACGTTTTCTTGCAGTCAAAGTCAATTCATCATCCTTCACATAGTCAAAATGCTGCACAAAGACTCTTTATGTTAATGTTAGCCGAATGTTCTTGTTGCACGGGATCATTAGGACCACATATCCTGCTTCTCTTGGGCTCTGATATCCTTACACGTGAAATTGCCAATGCAAGCATATCAACCATACAACAATCTTCATCTTCCTCTAAATCATTTGGGAACATTGAAGTAGAGTTGTCATCAAATGAGGTGTTAATGGTCCTCTCATACTCCATTTCCAGCACATCGGTCAGCAATTGTGTAGTCAAGTTTCCACAAGTTTGCACTCGGGAACCGAAAGTTAGAGGTCCTAATGTCGGGTTCGTGTAAAAAAGTATCCATGGATGTCCTATTAAACAAAAAAGAAAATTCGTTAGATGAAAAAACAAGGATTAATAAAATAAAAAAACATTAGGCCCACATTACACGACAGACTAGGTTGTATTGTGTTTGACATGTATTGTCCTGGAACTAGAATCGATGTTAATGGGACAAAATTTTAAATTTTTTTGTCCCACACAAAAAGATGGAAAAGGGATTCGCTCTGACATCAGCAGTGTCAGTCCAATGCATGTCAAACACAGTATAACCTGTAACGTCTTGTCCAATGGACAGGAGAGTATCCAGAGCTTACGTAGTACTTCCTCAGCAGTGTACCTCTCGGATACATTTCTTGTTAGCATATGTCCAATCAGATCACAGGCAGGTTGAGATACCGTTTCCCATAATTCGCCTTGAAAATCAAGCGTCACGTTCTTGACCGCCTCAAACACCGTATTTACCGAATTGCCACCGAACGGAAGGTAACCAACCAAAACCGCATGTAGGACCACACCCGCGCTCCATATATCCACTTTCTCAGAGTAACCACCCGTCAAAACTTCAGGTGCCACATAAGCAGGACTCCCAACCACACCATATAGACTCTGACCTATTAAAACAAATACTCCTACATGTTAGTAGGAAGTAGCTGGTAACTGGTAACCAGTATAAAACAAGTATTTCAATTATTACCATTAGCAATTCTAGCAGCCAACCCGAAATCAGCAAGCTTAATCGAACCATTAGCCGAAAGAAGGATATTTTCAGGTTTCACATCACGATGAATAACGCCCATGTCATGACAGTATTTTAAGAACTAACATCAATTCCTTGATTAAATTAGCAGCTTTTTGCTCTGAAAACAAACCATCTTCCCACATCTGATCAAGCAACCTCCCACCAGAGCAAAGCTCCATAACAAGATGAAAAGATTGAACATCTTCATACACTGCCTTCAATGTCACAACACCCGGATGACCGGAAAGATGCTGCATAATCTCAACTTCTTTATGAACAATCTCATCCCCTTTTGGTAAAATCTTGCATGCAAATTGTTCTCCGGTGACCTTATTCCGGCACTTGACCACTGATCCAAACTTCCCGTTTCCGATCGTTTCGCCTCGTTCGAAATCTTGATCGATTTTCTTCTTTCGACCGGTTTGTGTCAAGGCATCGAGACACCCGATTTTACGTTTTAGACCCCTGCCACGTGGGTCGGAATACACATTGACGAAAGGCGGTGCGGTTGCGATTCCGATTCCGATTATGAAACGTTTATGATTGGTGGATTGTTTGAAATCAGTTGATTTGTGTCGAGTGATTCCCTTTCTCTTTCTTCGCATATGGTCCATATATAAGTCAATAAAATCATGAACGATACATTTTTTTCAGACAAAATCCCTAAAAATTGGACTTAACTAGTTAGCTATTTTCTAATCAATGGAATTAGACAATTTCATTTTCCTATATCATATTCCGAATTCATATCAGACACACTGAAAAGCTTAAAAAAAAATCAACGCAAATGAAGTCCATAGATATGGCTACAATCTGCAACATCAAGAAACATAAAAAGAGCGAACTTTGAGATTAAGAACAAAGAAGGGTTAGTCGCGGGTGATTTAAATCTTTTCTAGCAGGTGGGTATCAATGGAAAACAGTTCCGATCTATCGATTACTCCATGTAATTCACATAAAATTTAGAAATAATGGAGTCTAAAGTAGGTGAGTAAGGAAAAGAACCTCTTAAAATGAGAAGTCTCTTGCTCTTCTTCTTCCAACCCATTTCAACAAACGATCCACGCATCGGATTGGTTTCATCCAGAGTCTTATTCTGCATAAATCAAAAGGAAAAGAGGGATAGGAAGGAGCAGGATTAGCAGAGATTCTCAAAAACACAGATCGGAATCGAGGAAGAAACTGCTGAAGAAAAAGAGATGGGGCTATCCGATTCGATTGAACAATCGAGAACAGTGGTTTATTACCTTCATTGGAGGAGGAAAATCTGAAGGGGAATACTGGGTAATGCACGTGATTTTGAGTCTTTACAACACAAAACAGTGGTAGTGGTCGCACTGCCTGCCACTGCTTGCCATATTTATGTCTTCAGTCTTCACGCTATCTGCCGTGCACTCAACTCGCCCTCTTTTCCATTCGCAAGTGAAGACAGTATTATGTTTCGGAACGTGTTTACTGTTTTGGTTCGCGTAAATGGAATTAGGGTGTCATTGTCTTGGGAAATCAATTAAACAGTAATCTAAGGCTACAGTCTATGAATTGGGGTAGTAAATTGGAGTCTCTATCAAATCGGGTAGTGTCTATTTGATTCCTAATTTTTTTTTACTTTCGTAATGGTTTAGTTCCTACCAAATCTAAAATAACTATGTAATAGGATGAACAAAAAGTGAATCTATTGAAAAAGGGGTGTTAGTAATGGTGGTTATGAATGTAACCCTAGTGATATTAGGGTTAGATATCGTCCAAATCTATCTAATCGGTAATAACTTAAAAAGGTAACGAATTTTTAAAAATATACAAAAATGATCATTGTCTTTTTTTTAGTACATGAAATACCATTTAACCGGCTATTGTAGGTTACCTGGTTTCTAAATGTTCAAAAAATATCATTGTTGTTTTTTTAGTATAAAAAATATCATTAAAGTTACTATTTGTGTACAGAATACCAATGAATGTGTTCAAATAAAACTTTATGGTAACCAGGTACTTCAGGTAAATGGAAAAAAGACTTAAAAGTGTAACGAAGATTTCAAAATGTTCAAAAAATATTGTACTTTTTGTTAACTGTGTTGTTGTACTTTTTGTTAACTGTGTTGTTGTCGGATTATGTAGAACACGGTCACCGAAGATTATGAATCATCATATCAGTTCACAACATTTGTGCAAATATCTTTCATTCATTCACTCGATCGATCTTATGGTAACAAGAGAAGTAAGTGGGTAACAACCTTAGTTAAGCATTATTGCTTCCCGATTACATTATATGCCTCAAACCTAAAACATATATACGTTATATAGATGCACATATTATACATCAAGATTAGTCGTTCATTAGTGTTGCGGCACAAGAGAGACACAAAGGAGAAACGAGTGTGACGTTCTGTCATGAGCTTCCTAAATATGGATTTAGATACAAACTGATCGAGTGATGGAATGAAAGAGAGTACACAATTGGTGTGAAATGGTATGACGATGACTAATCTCCGATGAACGTGTTCTATATAATCCGGAAACAACGAAGCTAATAAAAGGTGGAGTAAATTACACGAATGGTCCCTATGGTTTGGGGTAATTAGCGCGCTTGGTCCATAACTTATTTTTTAACGTGGAAGGTCCCTACTGTTTGTTTTTGTTACGCGCTTGGTCTCTGTCTTACCTAAAAAGTCTATTATTTAAATAAGGAAAAATGATGGGATAGGTAAGGTAAGGTGTATGTGTGTGTGGGGGGGGGGAGGGGGGGGGGGGTGGGGGTGTGTTTATTTAAATAATTTAAAAAAATCAAGGGCAAAATAGTATTTTTTAGGTAAGACAGGGACTAAACGCACAACAAAAATAAACAATAAGGACCTTCCGAGTTAAAGAAATAAGTTAAGGACCAAATACACAAATCACCCTAAACCATAGGGATCATTCATGTAATTTACTCTAAAAGGTGCTCTGAAAAAACAACAATGGTTTTTTTTTTAACATTTTGAAAGTTTCAATGGTATTTTTTGTACTAAAATGTGTACTCCGTTGGTATTTTGTATACAAATGATATACTTCAAGGGTATTTTTTGTACTAAAAAAATAATCGTATTTTTGAACATTTTGGAAACTTCGTTACCTTTTTAAGTCATTTTTCCTTTTACCTGAGGTAACCGGTTACCACAAGGTTTTATTTGAACACATGTATACTTTATTGGTATTTTGTGTACAAAAAATATACTTTAATGGTATTTTGTATACTAAAAAAAACAATAGTATTTTTTCTACATTTTTGAAACATCGTTACATTTTTATTCCCTTCTTTTTTATATCAAAGATCGATTCAAATATATGTTTTGACTAGGAGAATATAAAAAATGGATTCCTTTAAGTAGATATAAAATTTCCCTTATATTAATATTAGAATAAATACCCAAAATTATTCTTAAAATATAAGTAACATCATTTAGAAAGGCCCACATCAAATCCGCCCAGATCCATCATATAGAAGGTAAATCGAGCACAAATAATATTTTGGTTGTTCAAAGTTTGAACTTTTATGGCGTGTTCGACACAAAGCGTTTGAGACCTTCTAACTTCTAGCGTTTGACAAAATGTTTCGTTTTGAACAGAAAATCTAATTTGACACTACAAATTTTTAGTGTTTAGTTTAAACAAAACGCTCAAAATCCAAATGTTATTTCACGTAGCGTTTAACAAAACGCTACCAGTTAGAAGCTAACCGCTACCGGCTATTTTTGTTGAACACGCCCTTAATATGATTTATGAAATTTTGTATCTCAACCATTAAACTCTTATCACAAGGACCTAAAATTATTTTATATATGACCATATAAGGATAGAGTGGAGAAACTCAAATTAGATGGAAATATAAGGGGTGTTTGGGATTGCTATTTTGTCTAAAAAGTCTTTTTTGAAAAAAAGACTATTTGACTTATAGCTTTTTCTAAAAAGAGGTTTTAAAACGTGTTTGGATTAACTTTTGATGTCCAAAAGTCACCAAAAATCACAAAATCATGACTTTTAAAACAACTCATTTTTCTTCTTTGCCAAAATATCATTTTAAAAGAACTTTTAGATTTGCCAAATACCTTTTCAAACTTTTGACTTTTTGAAAAAGCCAAAAGTCCAAAAACTCACTTTCAAAATAATCCCAAACACGGTCATAATTCAATTATTTTGTTTTGTAAATCACTAACTTAACCATATTAACAACTTGGTTCGTTGTTTGAGTTTTTGTGACATTCTCTTAATACTTAATTTTATGCCATTTATAATTTTATCCATCGCCTTGCATCTAAAAAACTATAACAAACTTTATATATAAATAAAGATAAATTATAGTATATTTATATCATAAATGATTCCTATTTTTATTTGATAAAAATCCTTTTTTAAATAGAAATTATTTCAAACTCTTATGTTAATCAATAGATCTTATGTTAATCAATGGAGTAATATACATGAAGTCTTCAACTATTTCACAAAATGTGTTTACTTTTAAGAAAAGAAACATGAGCAACTATATGTATGCCAAAACAACTTATATTGTATCATCTCAAATTTCACGTAAAAAAAATTCTTTTTAAAACATAAGTAAGACATCTATTTCTCATAAAAATAGAAATATTAAATTGTTTAAAACAAAATAACTGAAATTAGCAAATAAATTTAAAAATACCAAATCTGTAAGTAAATTTTTTTTTTTTTAAAAATAAATTAAAAAAATAGCTAAAATTATCAAATAAATATAAAAAATAAGAAAATAATAGATTTAAAAGTTCTAAGATTAAATTGAAGGTTAATTGGGGACACATTTAAAATTTGGAGTTTGGGGGGACTAAAATTACCAAATTCGTAAACTTAAGTTGAACTTGACTTATGTAGGTTTGGGACCAACCGTATAGGTTTTATCGAAGAAATAAGACTTGTGGTCTTTTGAGAGATCATTTGGTAAACAAGTTGAAAACTTAAGGTTGCGTTTAGTTGTGGAAAAACAGTTTTCATTTTCTGTTTTCTGTTTTCCGTTTTCAGTTTTCATTGGAAAATTTAGAAAACGCGTTTAGTTAAATCTTATTCATTATTCATTTTCTGTTTTAGAAAATTAGAAAACGCGTTTAGATGTGTATATTTCTATCGGTTTTTCATTTTTAGAAAACGGTAGCGGTGGTAGGATGGGGATGGGGATGGGGGGCAGCCGCGGGGGGAAGTGGTGGTGTCAATGATGGCGACGATGGTGGTGGTTGTGGCGGCGGTGGTGATGACAGACAGTGGTGGTGGCGATGGTGGTGATGCTGGTGATGGGGTAGTGGTGGTGGTGATGGTGATGGTAGGTCGGTGATTGTGATAGTGGTGTTGGGTGTGTGTGTGTGTGTGTTTATAGGGGTGGGGGTGGGTGTATGTGTGTGATTGTGGTAGTGGTGTTGGGTGTGTGTGTGTGTGTTTAGGGGTGGGGGTAAGGGTGGGTGTGTGTGTGTTTATAGGGGTGGGGGTGGGGTGGATGTGTGTTTGTGTGTTTGTGTGTGTGTGTGTGTGGGTGGGTGTAGGTGTGAGTGGGGGTTGGGGTGGGTGTGTGTGTGTGCGTGTTTGTTTGTGGGGGTGTAGGTGTGGGTGTCTG